TTTTTTTTTTTTTTTTTTTTTTTTTTTTTTTTTTTTTTTTTTTGACTTCAATATGGATGCACCTATGAGTTTATAATGTTGCAAGGAACAAGAATTATCGTTTATTGTTTAATAAACTTGTGTTGGAATAATTATTATAAAAACATTTTTTTAAATACTCCAAATAAATAATGATCATAAATAAGTAAATAACGGGAAAAAAAGGAGAAACTCATTTGTTAGGAGAACGATTGAAGCGGCAGTGAAGGGTACAAGTTGAAGAGGGATTAAGGGGGCGTTTTTAATGTGGATTTATGTAAGGTTGAGTAAGAGAACAAGGAAACAAACATAGGACCAAAACTCGCAACAAGCATAGGCTACAAGTGGAACGAGTTTCGTGTGAGTATGGGATGTTTTAGACTCAAAAGGACGAGGGCAATACATGTGTTGGGTTGAATCAATGGGAAGAAGCTGCCCTATCAATATCGGCCTATACTACCTAAAATTATTAAATATAGGTCTAGTTAGGAAACACTATGATGAAATTGTCATATTAAGAGTAAATTACATAAGAGAAATGATTAATGATCTAAGTAAGTAGCTTATCGAAACTCTAAGACAAGTTTTAACTTGTTATACACGAATATAGCATGTTAACCCTACGATTGGGAGATAAAAATATTACATGAATGTAGATGGCATAGTCGTAAATGCATGCATAAGATGTGAGCATGTTAGAAATTCATGATTAATAAGTAGACGTATACTCTAGTTTATGCTTATGAACTAGTTATGTTATGAGATCTAAATGAGTATTCTTAGTCTACTAATCATCGTGGAACTTCGGATTGTTGCATTGTGTGTTAAGTTAGGGACAATGAGTATGCTTGACCATCGGACTATGGAGTACTTCAGGTTGCCAAAGAGTTAAATAGATGAGTCGTATTGGACCAAGAACAAATCTTACATACATATAAGTACTTAATGAGTAAATATCAAAGTTATTTTTAATGTACTTTCTAAACAGACATGGAATGGTGTGATCGAGACAACGATGTAACCAATCTGAGTAAAGTGTACGCGAGAACGAGTTATCCGATCTTTAAACTTCTTGTATACAAGAGAAAAAGAATCAAAGAGATTTCATTTCTTTCCGAATTATGAACACTCTCCCTCTTCTCTCACAATACATGGTGACTCATCGGCAACGTACCGATGGTAGTAACAATGGTGGCACAACCATGAAAGTATCTCCTTCCTCTCTTTTTTACACTCTCTTCTTCATTCTCTACCCAGCTGCGACTGAACTTACAACCTTCCCACCATCTCTTCTCAGTAGTTGTATTCTTATTCCTCTCAACCACGGCTTGATTTATACCATACTAGTTTGCTTTGGACCGCTAGAAGAGTGATTCGATTTGCTCGATTTAACTATTTCAAGAATTGAAAGTTCGGTTTGGTCTTTTGTCAATCTAAATAAAGCTGAGATGATAAGTCACTAATTATCATTTCAAAGGTCGGTAGTTCTATCCTCAACTAATGTCCACCACCTGGATAAGCTCCTCCGCCTCACATAGGTTGTCCACCACCTGGATAAGCTCCTCCGCCTCACATAGGTTGTCCAAGATCCTCTCCAAATCCTCTAGTTTCTTAATTCTCACATCACCTAAAGATATTAAAATCACTCCTTCAAAACCTTCCTAACAGAGGATAATTTCAATGAAACAAAAAGGAATTCTGTAAACAAAGCATCCTCTCTATTCCAGGTCTATTCTTTCTAATTCGATCAAAATTCAAAACATTGCAAGTCATCAGTTTACAGGTTCATAATTTAGAAGGTTAACCAAATTCTCTAAATAAAGCACAACAAAATTCTGAACCTGAAACAAACATTCGCCAGTCTATCTTAGGCATTACGTGGCTGTGAAGATGAATACGCTAACACTGCCAATTCATTATATTTCATCGATAAACTCAAGTAGATCGTCAACTTCCTGCCTCAAGGCTGTAATTCTTTGCTGCTGTGAAGCAACCCTGTTCTCAATTTCACGTCCCCCATACTTCTTCTCATAGCAGTCCACCACCGTCGTGTGTTTCACAATCAGCCTCTCCTGCAGATCTCTCTCCTTGGCCACCAACTCTTCCACCTGCACGAGCAGCAAGACTTCATACTTAATATAGATCGTTTGCGGCAGCCAGCATCCCCACTTTTCAAAATCAGTTAGTGAACATCAAAATTTAGTTCAAGCCAACAAGAGACATCTCTTTTTACATATCACACTATAATTTGTTTGTCAAAGCATACTAATTATGGTTTAATCTTTGTGGGAAAATCAGAAGCAATTGACCTTGGGCAATATATGGGTAGCCTGCTGGGATGATTGCAAGAATGAAATCAAAGGCTTCAACTCTTTTAAAAGCTCTTTCAATGAAGCATCAGCTGCTTTACGAGCTGCTTTACAAGCTTGGATGTCACCAGTCCGAGAAAGATCACGCAATGATGCTTCCAATTTATCGTGTATGGTTAAGCATCTGTTGATAATATTCTGAACTTGTTGAATCACAGTTTGCACCTGAATGAGATGGCCAGTGCAACAAGGCAGTGAGAGTTCAGTGACAGAAATGCAAGGCATCTTCTACTGTAGCCCTGCCTAACCATCTAAATACTTGGAAGAATACCATAGAGGATACCATCTTCCTTACCTCATCCCATTGTAACTTAGCTAAATAAGAAGCAGAAGACTTCGAAATTGACATGTCAGAATGCATATAAATGATGCCTGAGACAAAAAGGATAAAGAATCCAAAAATCAACATCACAGGCTCCCTGAGCATTGAAATGCAGTTGAACTTGTAGTAGACCTGCAAATAACGTAAGAGAGAGTTAGCATACTTCACAATTCAGATCTGAGAAACCTTTACTTCAACCGTACTGGTACAACTCATAGAAGGACTACTACGTCCATGAAGTTGCCAAATCAATAGTGATAAAGAACATCGACATGCAGATCAATTTTGATTTAAAGACGGATGATACCTGGAAGTGCTGATTATGCTCCGGCACAACATTTTCCTTTTCCAGTACAACAACTGGTCTACCATCAATGTCCAAGTGTGAAAATTTTGTCTGTAACAATTAAAATAGAAACTTCAGGGAAACAAAATTAATGTGTCTTCTTTAAAATAAAAAAAAATAAAAAAAAATAAAAAAAAATAAAAAATCAGCAAACAAACAGAAAAGAGACTAATAAAAGAGTCCTGGCACTAGTCTATACTACCTCAAGCCACTGTTTATGAGAAAATGGAACAGACACAGACATATCTCTGGAGCCCTCGGGTAAAACAACCTGAAGTTTACAAAAAAAAAAAAAAAAGTCATTTACATGAAGAAGAAAAGAAACATTTTGTTCTAGTTCTACACAAACCGAATTCAATCCATAGATGCATCTCTTGAACACAATAGACAACAAAAGCACAGAAGTCATAATAACCATTTGAAAAGAAAGAGTGACGTATAAGTAAATAAAAAAGTTGCAACAATGTCAAATGGTACAAATTTCATATAGCATATAAAAGATGGGAAGCAGTTAACCCATAAATTTGCACATAGCCTTTGCTGAATGTTACCTAAGTTTTAGAACGTCAAATAAAATTTCAGGAAAGTGTCGCCAATAAAGGATGCCAAATTTTATTTTTTGATCTAATAAATCCCAAAATTTTAGGAGGCTATGTTTCTGGTGGCAAGAGCCTATCAATCACATTTCAGCATATAATCATAGAAGAAAAGAAATTACCTTGACAATGAGCCTATCAATCACAACATCATTTATAGGAGAACCAAAAGTGATGTTAAGAAAGCGTTTTCCCTGATCCTGAAATAGAAAATCCTGAAGTGGCAAACCATATCCAATGGTAAAAGAAGTTCTCCAACCACCAAACATTGGATATCTAGGTTCAATCTCCAGCTCAGTCTGAAAATTTAGAAAAGAATTGAGAAAATAATCAGGTAGAAAATTGAGGTCGTCATATTGCTAAAACAAAATTTTCACCTTCTTAGAATCACCCCATAGATGAGATGTAGAGATGTTTCCAATTTCGTCCCTATAGTATACCGAATGAGTTCTTGGTGGTAGTTTTGCAACAAGATTTCTAAATGCTGAAGCCCCTCTTGCATAAGGTCTGGCCTGATAATCAAGCCTGCGGCAAAAATAACCAAAAAAGTTACATGTCCTGATAGAACAAAAACTTTGAATAACTAGTGGAAAGAAGAAAGAAAACGAGGAAATACCTGGAAAATTCCCCTCTACTTTGAGCACCACCATGGACAAGATTATAATGCTCTGTTATTTGAATGCTGCCCCAGTGAGAAATCTCTACCTCACGGACAAGCTCTTGAGCAACAGGAAATGGACTGTTGTTTTCAAAATGAAAGCGTATGGGTTTCACTGAATATGGGGGCAGATTCTCATAAGGACCATATTTGATCTCAGAACCATGAGTCTTCGTGTTTTCCAATTTTGTATAAGATTCAATTCTTGCTTCAGGCAATTTAACACTCAGTGACTGGACCTTGACAGAATAAGGAGACAAAAAGTATGCAGTGTCAAGAAACACTACAAACTGAACATCAGCCTGGGTGATTTTCTCTGGGAATGGATGCAACACATGGGTGTAAACAGCCAAGACATCAAAAGTCAAGCTTTCACCCTGGTTTAATCCCTTTGGTAGAGATACCGAGTAAAATTTCAATTCTGGAGGCATTTCCTTGGGATAAACAACATCGACAGGGAAATTTATAGCAGATCCTTTGGGTTTCCCTTTTCTTTCATTCAATGTTACTTGAATATGAGCCAAGTGTTTTGCTTGTTCCTCGGGAAAGGTTAACAATACTTCAGACACCACATCAGTCCCCTCATTTTCTACCTGGAACAGCATGAAGAAGTTACAAAAGCATAGATACTCAAACACCCATTTCCTCCTTACACTGACTCATTATACAGCAACTCCTAAACACTATTCTACAATGTGCCCCATCACAAAGAATGTGGCAAATAACTGCACCTTTCCAAGTTCATGTAAATTTCAAGAAAAATAAATTGAAAATAGCAGCAAGAGATACGTACCCTTATAGTTGAAGATACGCGAACAATCTGAGAAGTCAAGTCAATCTGCAAGCGGGAAGAGAAATTCAGTCAACGACACCATGCCGAGGTGAATAAATTACATCAAAAAATGGAATTTCAAAATCCTTAAGTGCAGCAACCATAGAGAGTTCAAGAGAAGAAAAAGTAAAAATAAGTGTTGATAACTAACAATTGAGAACTAAACCCTATCATAAAACCCAAATCTCTAAGCATTACTCAAATGAATGAAACAAAGGAAGGAATCTAATCCAATTGAGCAATTGAAATATATATATAAAAGATAACAAGGAAATCTTCCAGAGAAACTTACCCGGCGATCAACCTTGGAGAAGATCAGATCGGAAAATACAGGCGAAAGGATGAGAGCAACCGTGAAAAGGAACAGATCCAACTTGAATGCCATGTTAGGATTCGTCCTCAGTTGTAGGAAGGATGAACTCAAAGTGGATCAGGAAGAGATGGAAGCATAAGGCAATGGCAATGCGGAGGAGTATAGTCGGAGTCTCTAACGAGTGAGGAACAACGCGACGACGACGACTCAGAGGAAAAGGAAATGGTTGGGAAAGTCGTAATTTTGGTGATT